ACTGGTTACTAACAAACCACAAAGACAAATAAGCAATGTCTTCTCAAGGATACTAACCTAATTAATCCCTCAAGGAATTACAAACAAACAGTTTGAATACAAAGATGTATGTTTACAAAGTGCTTCTTAATTAAGCAAATTTACACAATTGAAATACAAAAAATACTTAAAGAAAAGTTTGCTCAAATTTGGAAGCTTTTCACGTAGAAAACACACTTGACATATTCGACAACTTTCTTCAAGTCTCCAAGTCCCATATGTATAGCATGAAAAAAGAATCGTTGGATGGCAAAACAGAAATATTAAAAATGTAATTGTACACTAACGGAATAGTGACATGTGTGACAAATAGTACCGTCATTTTTCCCACAAAATCAGGTAATGGAAGAACAATTTTGTTTTGTACTGTGTATTATTTTGATTATATATCCTTTATCCTTATCTTCAAATTCATTGGCTTCTGATGAAAAATTGATAAAACATGAATAGAAGAGTCACGTAGCTTGAAATCAGAATCTTCAGAATCATCAATGAGAATCTTGATAACATCAACGTCTGACTTGAGATCTCCAGAATCCTCAAGTAGAAACTTCAGAAGTTTGCCTTTCTTCAGAAGTTTGTTGATCAGAGTCACATCGGGAAGCAGAAACCAAGAGGACATTCTAGAAGCAACATGACGTCTTCTCAGAAGCTTCTTAGAGGTGAATTAGCGTAGAAGCGCATTTTGAAACATAAATTTCAGAATCTGATGATGTTGCACATCACTTAGTCAGAACAAAAAACTGGTTGTTAAAGTTACACAATAACAAACCATTAGAGTACCAAAATTATTCTCATACAAATACTACATTGCTATCAACAAAACTCAAAGGTATAGATGCATAACCAAATCTTGTTCTAACATAAAGTTTCTTAGAAAATATAAAATATAATAATGTTGAAATAAAACTTCTCAAGTTTCCAACAATGGTGCTATTTGATAGAATGTATTTTTTCACTATCAAATTATTTTGTATTATAGTTTCCACATAGATTTGATGTTTACTCAGTCTTCTAGTCTATTTAGATACCAATAGGTAAACATGAGAAATTTTTTGGTAACTCAAATAATATAAAAGTAAAATAAAGTGTGATCAAAGTTAAGAAAGTGTATTTAAAACTAGACTTTGTTAATCAATCATTTTAAGTAAGCTCTTGATCAGTTCTATTGTTTCATGTATCCTAAATATATGTCCATTTATTGCTCAATGAACATTTTTGTTTCTGACAAACAATGACATGTATTGAATCTATTAAATTTTGATTCCTTGCTCAATTAATTGATTTGATAAAATTACAATATGGTAGTGTTTTATTGCCGCAATTGTAACCATATTCCTAGGAATGAGTAATTATAAACATTGTTATCCTAGGTCCTTTAATAGAAAATTGCAATGTTATATTTGTAAAAAGGCTTATCTAAGGCGGTGTCTTTAGACAACCCTAGAAGAGGCGACAATAGAATGACGCTCAAAGAGAGGTATTGCCTCGTCCCATGGTTTCCCACCGCCCTTACGTAGGAAACATGGGATAAGACGCTTTTTGGCTTGAGACAAAGTCAATGTTATTAACTAATCCACGACTCTCTTGGAAATATAGATTCAACTGTCCACCATTGATTAAGTGGGAGGTGACCCTTTCCAAGAAAACTCTAGGCATTAAAGAGTACAACGCTCACTACAGTCTTAATACATAACTTTCTGTAACTATATGCTTGCACCAAGCATCGCCGGTCATCATTAGAGTCTCTCATCTTACGTGAGCAGGTCTCTTAAACTACCTCAAAATACCACCGTATAGGGCTTCTCACCTTCGTGGGCAATCCTTAACCACCATATTATATTTTTAACGTACTAAGGCCTCATAGTTTCTTTGTCTTTGTAAGGAAAATATGCACACCTATACTTTTTTACTAGTACAAAAATATATTCCTAACATTTCTCAATTAAAAGATAAATATTGAAGCTTAATCATGGAAAGTCATTAAGAATGAAAATAACAATATTGATATATCAAAAAAAATATTTTATATAATCGGAAGACCATAATTATTTACCTAAGAAAAATAAGTGTTTTATGTGACTTATCCTTCTAACAAAAGATGGTCAATTATTCTTCAAGAAAAACACATTTTTCATATTAATGAAAATCATGATTTTAATTTTGATTTTCCTTCTACTCCTTCTTACATAATACAAGTGCCTACTTCATATGAAGAAGTTGATTGAGATGATGTGCATGCTATTCATAATGATCATGAAAAAGACATGTGGAAAATTTAACAAGTAAATGTTTTTTTTATTGTTTATTCATAACTTGTTACAATTTCTAAGGTTATTTATAACAATTATTATTATTTGAAATTATAGGTGCTTAAAGTCAAGACACCAAGAGACAAGACATGTACCTCATATTGTAGATATTATTTGATATAATGATATGTAAATTGTATGTTGTTTTGTATCATTTTGGTTTTGATTTAATATACAAATTTTGAATTTTAGTGTATTTTTTTATTTTGATGTAATACAATTTTTTGAGCCATTTTAGTTGTCAACTATAGGTGTAGTTCACAAATGGTTTGTGTTGTTGTTTAGGCAATTATGTATAATTAAAAAATTATATTAAAAAAGTAAATCATTTCACCACGGTCGGGTATTTCTACCGTGGTTATATGTAAGCGCACTATTCAGATTTTAAAAATCCAAAATGGTATTGTTAGGTATCGAACTCAGGATTTTAAAACATTTCAATTTCATTATGGTTGTTTATTACAATCGTGGTGATATGTAGGGCGTTTGTCAGCTTATTACCACAGGTTGCAGACCGTGGTCGTAAGTAGCCTACTAACAACCACACGCTAACTTACCATGGAACCTTAAAAGTGATTATATCTCATTTATAACCGTTTTTAAATATGTTATTCATAGTAGTGGTAAATTCTAATCACATGATATTCTAAAAAAAGAGGAAAAAAAATACTTAAGGCATACAATACTATGCAGAAATGTAAAAAAGATAGAAGAAGAATGTACACCAGATTTTCATTTGTCCTTTCTAAAGCTTAATCCACTTTTAAATGGTTTCACCACTTAAAATTTGTAGGATATTCGACTACAAAAGTCTTGCTAGACATAAAAATTCTGTTCCAGGCTTCAGTTGCACAACAACCTTTACTCAATTCTATTGGTTCTTTGTTTTAGAGTTTGTTATACCCAAAATTGATTGAATAAGTAACAATTTTGTTTTTGAATAATCTTTACACAAATCTGGAGAAGTTTTCCATGGAGTATATAAAATAATATTCTTTTTGTTGGAAATTAATCTCTAGATACCATAGACACAAAGTAATTCTTTATCCTTATACACACGCAAAGACTTCACAAAAAACATTGACTTCACTAATGTATCATGGATATACCACTCAAGTCCAATTTTTAGAGTTGAGCACTACAACAATTATTTCTTGGTTCAACCTTGAAGATAATGAAAGTTATCTATAAAAATTTCACACAACAAGCAAAAATCTCAGAAGATCAACATTCTAGGAAGTTTTTTCATAAGTTTTAAACAATGAGGTGATATGCTTGTGAAATGAAAAACACTCATGAATTTTTTTCTCAAGAATTGTGAAAATATGGGTTTAATCTCACTTGATCACTTTCTAGAAAAACAGTTGAGACATAGACACACATTGGAAAGTTGACAAAATGATTTATTTAGGTGCTAAAGGTTGGGTACAAAAATGTGAGGAATATAACATATGATTTGAGTCAAATCTTGAAGTTATGATTTGAATCAACAAAATGAACTAGTTAAATCAAGGTAGTAAAATGAGGATGTTTCCATTTTGATTTGAGTCATGATTTTCATACATTATTCGCGTAAAAAAAATGTATGATTCGAATCATGGTTGTTTTTGAAAAGTAATTTGTTGTCTGATTTGAGTCAAAAGAATGTGATTCAACTCAAGTAGTGTTGTGATTCAAGTACACATATCCTTGATTCAAAAAAACTTGATAGGTGCGAAATCCAAATTTCAAATTGATTTTTGATTCAATAAACTATATGTTTTATTCAAATCAATCTTCAAAAAACCTTGTTTTAGATTTTCTAACTCGTGATTCAAGACACACACACGTTATTGACTTTGACCAATTTGCTCAAGTTTAAAAAACATATTGACATGAATTCGAATCTAATTTATTGAGTGAAAAGGTGAGTCAAGGTACACTTCTAATCAAATAAACGAGTTACATGAATTACACATAAACTGAAATAACAACAAATCAAATCACAGATTACAAAAATTGAACAAATCATCAAAATAAAGATGTAAAAGATTGTTCAAGCCGTTGGATGGTAATTAAGGTGGAATTCTAACTATTTTGGACAATAAGTGTTTCAATGTAACAGAGAGACTTGTCAAAGGACATTACATTTGGTTGATTGGAGAATGGGGGAATTTGAAAACGAAGGTAAATATACTGAACGTATAGCCCCATGTGATACCAACACGAAGAAGGTTCTGTGGAACGAATTAAAAACAAAGATTCAAGGTAACAAGGAAGAGTGTTGGTGCGTGGAGTGTGTTTTTTTCTTCCAGATCAGCAGAATAGAACTTAGTAAGATAAGTAAGAGTTCATTTAATGAGAATAGATAACACATTAAATGAGTAGGTTGGTTATTTGTTCAATTATTTGAAAAGATCATAGTTACTTTTAAGATAGTTAAATCGACAATAATTACCAAGTTTTGTCCATTCACAATGCATGATTCAAACGCATACTTTTAAGTTTTACAACACAATGATGAAAATATTAAGGCACAATAGTTAATGCGTGTCTTGCAATACCTCTCTACTCGGGCTAACAAATAATGCAACACATTAAAGAGTTTGTTGATGCCTAAAATCACCACCACCACCAACAACCACCGGTTGAAAATAGAATAATTTTAAATCACTTTTTGCCCAAAACCGTGGCTCGTAAGTCAGCAACATCAACCGCGTTGGTGTTCTCCGGTTTATAGTAACCAGTGACAGGGTCCGGAACCCACGACACCTTTTCTTTATTTGCCACCTTGTCTGTCCCTGATTTCGGTGCTGCCATCTTGCCGCTGACGGAGGTTGCTACTCCTCTTGTCGCGTTTTGTGTTGCTGCCGCCGCCGCGTATCCTCGTCTGTATCAGGTCATAAACCAAACACAAAAAGTTATTATAATGTAATAGAAAAAGAAAACATTGCAAACGAAAAATTACAGTACCTAGTAAGAGAATTGAAGAAACCATCAGTAACAAGAGTAGAGAGAGTAGAGATAGCTTTGATGTTTGTGAAGGAGCCAGCCATTGATGAGAATTGAGATCAATGTGATTTTGTGTGTTGTAATGGGTTGCAATGTGCCAGAAACAAAGTGGTGGGGTTAGTTATATAGGCCAAGGAAATATAAAATTCGATGCATCCATTATTAATCGAATTTTATGAGCCACGTCAAAATTAGAATCTATTAACTATATAGGACTACAACCTCTACTTTTCTGACACCTATTGGTTGATTCCGAGAGCCGTTTTATATTTGCCTTTCTTTATTTCAACTACTTTGTTTTTTTAGTTAAAGAAAGGACAATTAATATATCGAAATATTCAATATTCATGCATTTGTCCGATATTTCTAAGTACCACTAGTTTGGCAATGATTTGGGACCATGGCCTTCTTTAGCCGAACAAGTCATTACATTTTTTCTAAGGAACACAAGAACCGGTCCGTCCTAGAGGTCGGCAAGTAGCAAACATATAAATCAAGATGGATTAGTGGAAAGAAAGAAGAAAAAAAACTAGAGAGAGAAAAACAAAAAGTATTCTAATAAAAAAGTAAAATATTTTAAATTAAATTTTAAATTTCGTTACAAAAAAGTTACTCCTAACTTATTTTTTTGGTTCTTTGACTTTCGAGACTTCAAGTAATCTTGACAGTGTTATAGGTGTCGAATTATTAAGGTTGAATAATTAATTTGAATGTACTTTTAAAGAGTGATAAAAAAGAAGTTGGTAGATCGGTGGAATTAGAATATTGAAACTCTATGGTAAAGTCTTTTAGGGTGTTTAAACGTTGAAGTTAATGTTAGTTGGTTCTTTTAATATCTAGATGTTAGGAAGTCAAAATGTGAAGGTTAAGGAGTTTATTTATGTAAGTTTTTTTGAGTTTCTAGTTATTCAAGTAGCCAAACTTAGTGTGGTATCGAGTTCTCTAGTGTACTTTTTTTAGATAATGAATTTCGTGAGTGAAGTTATGTTTCCGTAGTTGAAAATATTGGTAGTATTCTCTCTATCTACTGTAGTTTAAAGGGATCTTCAGTTTTCTCTTTTATGGGTAAAGGCTTTCTAAAGATTTTCTTTGATTTGGGCGATTTTCATTCTTTATTTTGTGTGACTAATTTTTATTTTAGTTGTACTCTAGTCAGGAAGAGGGATTTTTGGAATGATCTCGCGCAATAGAAAGAGACCCTTAGGGGTGAAGTGTGGTGTGTTATGAGTGATTTTAACTTAATTTGCCCTGGAGAAGAAAGGGTGTGAGTAGTCAGCTCCTCAAGTTTGGGGAATTTTGAGTGCGTTGATTTTTCTAATTTTATTGCTCATATGGAGTTATTAGATTTTCATTTGTTTGGTAGGAAATTTACTTGATTTCAATCTAATGGGGGACAACTAATAGGCTAGATGTGTATCTTGTTTCATATGGTTGGTGTGATCGTTGGGGTCAATTTTCTTAGTGGGATCTTCATAGAGATGTTTCAGATAATTTCCATATCATCGTTCGTTATACTAATAAACTTTGGGGTCCAAAACCTTTAAAATTTAATAACCACTAACTTGACCATTCTAATTTGAGGGAAATAGACAATTGAGTTGGGCTAATTCTATATCCTCAAGTTGAAAAGCTTTTGTTCTTAAAGAGAAACCCAAGTCTCTAAAAAGTACCTTAAACGTGTGGAATAAGAAAGTGTTTGGCCAGCTCGAGCATTCGTTATATGCTTTAAGAGATTAGGTTATATTCAAGATTTGAAAGCTAAGAGTGGCTTGCTTTATCCCGACAAGTTATTTCCTAGGTTTAGAGTGATTGCGGATTTGTGGTCCCTTCTCCAGACTAAGGAATTTGTTTTGTTTCAAAGACCCTGGAGTAGATGACAAAGGAATGGGGTGCATATACTAGTTTCTTCCACGCTTGTGTTAAAAGTAGAAATAAGAGGAATGATATCTTGGCTCTTTGGGTGGGTGGGTGGCCAAATCATTAGATCGAACATCTATAAATCTCTAGTGCATCTTTCTCCTTCCTTATATCTTTTCATTTCAGTTACGTACTTCTATTGTATTTCTTCTATTTGATTTTCTTTACTTTGAGACTATCTCTCGTTTGTTCTATAAATTTATTTCAAACTCTTATTTTATCAAAGATTTGTATTCAGCCATTGTTTTTCAATCCTACACGGTTTCACCACCCCTCCTTTTGGATAAGTAAAAGCAGTTCCAAATTAACCTGCACCATATTAAATTAGCATAGAAACCAAATAAGACTTACTACTAACTGCATCTCTGAAAGCACCACCAAGACCATGATAAATTAAAAGAAACTATCAATATTAGGGTCGCACTTCCCCAATCGAACAAATTTTATACTAATATCTAACAACAGATACCATATAGCTCTCCACAGTTCCATTACACCAAGAATAGTGACAACATTACTGCTTTATACATATCAAAACATACCCTCAATGTACTTCTAATCAGGCTTTTTACTCAAAGTAGATTTTAGGCGACAAGTATCATTGAGCCACATAACTTACAAGCCATTAAGATTTGTTTTTTTAACTAATTCCATGAATTCCTCCGTATTGCTTTGAGCTCTTGCTCCAATGATATCTCTTTATTGTTGAAGACTTTGTCATTTCTTGCTTTCAAAATATTCCAAATGAAAGTAAACCACACATCACTTAATTTTTTGGCATGAAATATTCCTCTATTCAATAGAGATTCAAATTGTTCAAGATGAGGTACACAATCTCTTTAAAATTTTGTGTGAATTTTGATCCAATTGCTAACCAAGTACCTTATACATGCAAAAGTGGAACACTGAAAAATGTGAGATATTGTTTCAACTATGTCATACCCGCCACCATAAAATTGTGAATAGAGATTGATGACACCTTATCTAACTTAATTGTCTTTAATTGGAAACCTATTATGAAGAATCATTCATACTAGGTAAGATGTGTTAACAGTTTCTCTTTGTGCTAAGCTTTTGACCAATAACTATTAACTTCTATTATATTTTCAAGCATCAAGATCTTGTAACTCTCTTTACCCAAATATACTTCTACATATTCTATGACACTTATGTCCATAATACACATGCCTTTCAACTAGAACGACATATTTGAAGGTGAGAAAAATACAAAGAAATAGGGGTTGAATTGTGTATGCAAAAAATTTGTTTTGCTTCTGATCATGGAACTTCAAAATTTGAACCACGATTAGAGTCTAATATTAGAAATAGTTACATTAGCAGAAATAAAGTAATCAGAAGTAAAAGCAAGCAACACACAACGATTATTTTGATTCCTCTTCTCAACTGAAAGTAGGTCAGTCCCTTTGCCTCAACACGAGTTTTTCACTATAACCAAACAAATAACACTTTGCTCAAGCACACTTGCAAAAGATTTCAATGTTCAATCAACCTGGAAATAGACTTTTTCTCAAGCAATCTTGCAAGAGACTTCTACTCAATTATCCTAAAAAGAGACTTCACTGCTCAAGTACACAGACAAGAGACTTCAATACTCAAGCACGCAAGCAAGAGACTTCCTCTATTTTAAACAAATAATTTGGTAGAAAAGATAACTACTATACTTAGATACATAATCAGAAGTATAGTAGTTGTGCAACAACCACAAAGATTCTTAACATCTTAAGATTTCTAAGATATACAAAGATACAAAATCTTAAGATCTTATGCAATAACAATTACAAATAAAAGCTCAGAGTTATGCTCAAGATAATATATTACATTGTAGTGTTGTTGTACACCTTCCTTCAAATCTTCAGTTCCTTTTATATAGGTAAAGAAAGAGTCGTTGGAGGGTTTGAGCATAAGAGTTAACTTAGTGAAGAAGCATGCTAAGAGAGACATTGAAGAATGTATCTAGTTAGAAGCTTTGTCCACTGAATTACAACATTGTTAACAACACTTTTCGAAGTACTAGGTATCTACCGAAAGGTATAACAGACTAAAGAGGTCACATCATCACTCCTTGAGCCTTGCAAAAAATGAAATCCTAGTTTACTCTTCCCAAAAATCTGGCGCTTTGACAAGAGTGATCTGCTTTTGGTACAGTGCACGGATCAGAGGCACCTTTTTCCTTTAGAGTCTGAGCTGTCACTAGAGGCTGGAACAATATATCAGAGTCTGAACCTATAAAAGCTGATGAAAACAATCAGAGTCACCAAATTCTGATCAGTCAGAATCACCAGATTCTAATCATTCAGAATCCGAGTAACATTGCTTCTGCACATATGCTTACAACAGGATTAATTCATAGTGAATTTTAAGTTTGTGATCCTGCACATTTGAACATATGTTAATATACTTGTTGCACCCCAAATTTGTCCTACCTTTACATAGTTTCTAGTGCCACTTTATTTTGAATGAATAAAATGGCACAATTGGCAAGAGACCGTGTGTAAGGAGTTGTGAGTGTGAGAGGTCGAGAGTTCAAATCCCACCTTCTTCACTTTTTGTTTTTCTTTTATTTTTGTTCTAACTTTTCTATTTTTCATAAAAAAAAATAACAAAAATAGTTTTTTTAATTATTTAATTATTATTTTCGTATTTTATTTAAATTATTTTTTTAAAAATATTATTTTTCACTTTTTTCCATATTATTCATAAAAAAACATCAAAAAATCAAAAAATTAAAAATATTAGAAAATATTTTATTATATTTAGTAAATAAATAGAGTTTTAAGTTGTTTTAAGTTTGTTTTAATTTAGTTTTGACTAATTCTTTAAGTTGGGCTTTAAAGTGGGAATTAGGTTAGAGCTAACCCTAATTTGTTACCTATATAAACATAAGTGATGGGAGGAAACTTCATTCACATCAGAAAATCAAGAACAGGTCATCAGAAAAGGAGACAAAAAGAAAAACGGCGGTCGTCAAGATCCGGAGGTTCAGAAGAGTTTCAAAGCTCATCATCATCACCTCCATTTGAGAAAGAGGAAAAGAGATCCAAAGAAGTTCGTCGAGAACCATTGCCGCCGGCGAAGAACAAGCGAAAGCATCACCAACCGGCAACTG